TCAAAATTAACATGAACAAATTATCAAGTTATAAATCATATTCTAATTGAAAAATGTTCAGCTTGATATCAAAGCTTTGATTGCAAATTTGTGAGCTTATCAATGATTACCTCACAATATTAAGTAGTAGAATGATATATTAATATTTTTGCTAATCTTTACTTCATAGTCATTTAATGTCCATAATGTCATATGACTCTACTGTGATTCCCATGAAAAAACCTTATCTCATGGTGTATATAGAGTATCTAGTTTTAATACTTAAAACTGCAATTATATGTGGATATTTTTACTCTGTTTATATCATTGTGACATTAACATGTTAACAAGCATCATAGTGTTAAACACCATAAAATCATACTCTTTATACATTAAGATTTTTGTGCTGGATGTCATTCATCTTCTTCAGGAAAGTACATTTGACTTTTTTCAGTGGCTTATATTAAAACTAATATTTCACTGTAACTGTGTTGTTCTCTGATATCATTCTCAAATTAAGGAACTGGAAGATGGTAGTTGCAAATAAAGGTCTTCATGGACAAATCCTCCTTCATCTTTTCCCTTTTTATCTGCAGAATGAAAAATCAATAAATATGTTGTTACAAGTGTAAGACACTAGAAATGATATTACATTACATTTAATAAGCTGGTCATGATTGACAGAAAAAATTTCATATTTGAAGTAAATAAACATTAAAGATAAAACAACAACACATAATATATAACAGTCAAAAATATTGATCTTCTTGAATGTGAAACATGACTATTTTTAATGTTTTATTTACTTATCAATTATCATGCAGTGAAATCCAAAAGTTATTAAATTATAATAATATATTTTGATAATTGTTTATCTTTCCGATCTCAACTAAAAAATAATCAATTATTTTACATGTATTTTACCTTTGATGTATAGATATTTCAGGATCATAGGCAGTGCAAACAGTTTGATTAATGGTCCATATTGAACAACTGTATATTCTATACTTGTCATATACCTCCTTGTCTATACATCTGAAATGGTTTTAATCAAATATTATATTTTTCAATTCAATCATTATTGGCTAGGTACCATATTAACATGTATATATAATTGAAAAAGGAACAAGAAAAAAATGGAAAGGAAAAAATATCCGCATTACTGTGCAATGTCCGAATTTTGTATAACTTTAATATACACTAGAATTAAAGTGTTTCTCCATTGTTTATTTCAATAAGTTAAAATGGTTTGAATTAATTTCTCACATCAGTAGTTTTAAAACAATACTAAAAGCTAAAACAACTAGAATTCACTACTTGACAAAACATCCGAAACAATTGTCACTATCCGAAAATAAACTAGTTTTATTAAACTCTATAAATCCCTCGTTTTTCCGTCAGATAATTGACCTACCTGCATTTTTTGACCCGCGCTATCCATTCCTTCAAATCTGAAGAGGACCGAAACAAATTTAACTTCTATATCCCTCGAGTTCTTCGGGTTACCTATATGCGTAACGGTAAAAAAGTCTGCCGATGTACCCGGAAGTGGTAAATCGAAAGTGAAAGTAAACGAGACTTACGGGCCCTATTCGTAACTGAAATAATGCAAGGACGGGCACCAGTGGTCTTCCTCCACCAGTAAAGCTTCAACATTGTAAATGAGACTAATGATTTATTTCCTATATCAGTTATATAGTTATAAGATAACACTTGTTTCTTTCAAATGGTTTATGAGAGATACATGTACATAAATAATGTATAGAAAATGAAAGAAACAAGTTGAGCCTTCTAGGGTTTGAACCGAAGGCCCTTATTTTCAATGTAGCGGACGTAATTCTAGCTGATTTAAATAATTCTTCAAAGGAAAGATAATGCTTAACGATGGCCATACCTTAAATAATGAAAACAAGATTTCCCCTAGAATAAATATTAAACTTAGGTAGGTCGATTGAAATGTCTAGATTATACATTAAGTGCCATTGAAGCAGCACAACTCTTTTAAAGTGATTAATCGTAAGTTTGTTGCTACAGAGAAAATCCAGAGGTAAGATAAATCAGTAATATTTTGAAATATACTGATTTTGTACACGTCATGTAGTAGCAAACAAAGTATTGCTTTAAATGTATCAGTCAATCCTTCCGATAACAAACGAAACACAATAACATCAAAAGCCAAAAACATGACTATTGTTTTTATAATAAAGGGGATGACAAATGTGTCTTCCTTATTGAAAGAAAGATTGAAAGAGAGATAAACATAAACTTTATTTTGGCAGGCTGTTTTCAGTTGTATGGAAAGGAAACGAAAAAAAAAACAACAACAACAAAAACGTAACGCTTCTGTTTCGACATAAAAGTCGTTGTTGAGTTCTACTGACACAAACATCACTTGCATATTGTCAAATTTGCCGTTTTGGACGTTCATTAAGTCAGTATAGTTGCCTTGGAAAAGGAAGTTTGCCATGGTAAAATACTATTTTAACAGGGCAAAGTCAAATTTGTCATGGCAAATGCAAGCTTTGCATGCATTTTACAAAACTAGGAAATACTAGGAATACAGATAGTTTTCATTTTTTTAAAGCGTGTAAAATAAGGGTTAAATTTGCCCAAAAAAACCTGGTATGGCAAAAAGAAACTGCCCGCTATCTATATTTGTTTGAATAAACGTTTAGATAAGTTATGTAATAGAAAGAGCACCGAAACATGAGGCTATCTGATTTGTACGAGGGGGCGCAGCCCCCGAGTATTAATCAGATTGCCGAGTGTTTTGGTGTTCTTTCTCTTTTGTATCATAGTCAAACATAAAATCACGTTCCCTGTTGTCACAATATGAAACCCCGGGAAAAAGTAACCAATGAACGAGCATCTGAATATGACATTTCTGTCGATTTCCCTTTCTCTGCCGTCACAATATGTAAACCCCAACAAAAATGAGCCAATCAATAGGCATGCTCTGGAGTGCGGGTAACTAATACCCGCACTCCAGTTAACACACTGTGCATGTATATGTATACGATTTAACCCTGACACATTTTCAACAGAAAGGTCTCCAAACTATGATACAAACACGAATTGTATCATAGTTTGGGGACTTTTCTGTTGAAAATGTGTCAGAGTTAAATCGTATACATATACACGTATACCATTTCACTTGCATAATTATCAATATACATGTATAAGGAAATGTTGCCATTGACTCAAACAATTGGTACCTCTTCTTTTAACATATTGCTTAATTACATTCTGCTATTTTACTAATATGACAGAGAATGATTCATTTTTCCTTAAGAATTGTGTTTTGCATAAAAAACAAACCGAGTATTTTTAAATAATGTATTCAGGATATAAATAGAATTGTTGCAAAAGTCACTCTTTAACTACGCTAAGTCATTGCATTGACAATTAAGCTTTTCTTTATGATAAATAGACAGATGAATAGGCTTTTGTTATTTAAGCTAGTCATTATATAATACTATGAATAAGATGATAATAACAGGACGAAAAAGGCGTAACTTTTTCATCGGGTTATTACGTTTCAAACTATTACTTTAGATTGGTACACATATAATAGATGCGTTTCTAGTGTTTGAGCATATAAGCAGTCCAATACAACACGTGTTAAACCGACATTTGTAAAGGAAATATACACTTATTTTAAATTTCAAAATGGTTTCTTTATGGACACTGACGATTTTCCTCGCCTTGGTATCGAGTAGTATTGAATTTGTTCAATCACATCCATTGGAGAAATCAGTTGCCAGGTAAAGATTTTTTTCTAAACAATTCCAAGTAATTCGTTTGTTTGCTCGCGCTATTGCTTATTTCAAATAATGGACATAATATAATAAATTATTTGTAATGAAAAGTATCTTTCCCAGATCAAAATTGTCTCGGTAAAATATTTGACAATACTATGTCGTTTACATAAAAGTCATAAAAGACAGATAAGCAACTTGATGAAACAATATTCAATTCATGTGAATGCCATATCTTCAAAATTCATTAAATTTAATAATATATTTGAGCCGCGTCATGGCAAAACCAACATAATGGGTTTGCGACCAGCATGGATCCAGACCAGCCTGTGCATCCGTGCAGTCTGATCAGGATCCATGCTGTTCGCTTACAAACCCTATAACAAGTAGAGAAACCTATAGCGAACAGCATGGATCCTGATCAGACTGCGCGGATGCACAGGCTGGTCTGGATCCATGCTGGTTGCAAACGCACTATGTTGGTTTTGTCATGACATGGCTCATTTCAAAACTGTTACAATAGAAATAGAGTATTATATTAAATCATATAATAAACCATCACTGTCTCTGTCATTATTATGTGAATGCGAAAAAAATGCTTTAATGTATCTATTTTATTTTTTATTTCATCCTATAAAGTCAAAAAATATTTTCTTGTCGAATCTGTTTGTCTAATAATATCCTTTAGCTAAAAGCTGTTTAATTTCTTGGTTGTACAGATATGTATACTGTGATAAATAGGTTTTTAATGAATTTGATTTCAAAATAATGATATAAAAAGAAAGTTTCGAAAAATGTACATAAAAGACTTTTTAAAATAACATCAAATGTAATTAAGTCATTTCATTACATAATTTAATGAATTCAGAGAACACCGGAAAGCGGCAAATAATTCACCGTTTAATTGTCTGTTTAATGTATTAAACGCGAAAAATACAGAGACATAGCAATTATTATATCACTTTGGCAACGAGCGACCATGATTTTAATTTTTTTGTCAAAAAGTGTTTTATCGGTCAAACATGTCCGATATTGACTTATGTGATAAACTTTACGATTACATTTTACATAACAGTGGTACGAGTGTACTGAGGACGGAAGATTTGGAGCAAGATGGTTGGAGGATGGTATTTAGAGGGACATCTGGCAATGGCCATAGTGTTTACCATGCTTGGATTGACGGTACTTTTATCCTTAATCGCAATGATTATCTTAACAATCCACGTTTTATTCATTATTTGAATCGTTTACTTTTCTTTGCATTTTTTTTTCACAAATCTGGTTTCAAATGTGGTGTGGCAGCTATTATCAATTGTTCTGTACTTCACTTCAGTTTTATCATATTTTTCTAGTCAATCATTTTCCAATGTCTCGCATGATTGGATTCAATAAAAATGAGCCGCGTCACGACAAAACCAACATAATGGGTTTGCAACCAACTTGGATCCAGACCAGCCTGCCCCTCCGCGCAGTCTGTTCAGGATCCATGCTGTTCGCTATCAGTTTCTCTACTTGTAATAGGGTTCGTAAGCGAACACCATGGATCCTGATCAGACTGCACGGAGGCGCAGGCTGATCTGGATCCATGCTGGTCGCAAACCCATTATGATGGTTTTGACGTGACGCGGCTCAAATTGTTTTCATTACTCTTGAGGGATCTTCCTTTTGGAAGAGTGTTAGCGAGGCAAATAAGAAGACAGGACGATTAGAAAGTCAAAAGAAATAGCTCGGCATAAAACATCTAAAACTAAAAACAAAAGGAATACTACTCCCCTTCAACAATACGAATATTTAAAACCTTTTCAGTCTTCTTGGTCTACCAAAACATTGTCATATCTGACTAAACAAATCTTCCTCCTAAACAATGTCATATCAACCTGAACATCTCTTTCCAGATATCTTCCTAGTCTAAATAAATACGTTTGTATCTACGTTTCTTCCGTGTCATACCCATGTTAAAACTATCATAAGCTGCTTTAAAAAGATGTTGAATACTTAAAATTAAAGTACTGAAGTTAATAAAACTGTAACAAAACATAACCACAATTTAAAAATGTAAATTGTTTATAATGCTAGGAATTTAATAATGATTGATTACATTTTTGAGCAATTTTTCTTTTATTTTCTTAAACACATTCAGTTTCGCAAATATGCATTTATGGATTCAGTTTTTTTTTTATCAACATTGTAAATTGAAAAGTCAAAATGTATAACGAATAAAAAAGCATTAGACATACCGCTGTAATTGTAAGCTTTTCCAATATTGTTATTTATTAAAGCTATTTCAATTTTTGTATGTATATTTACTTAAAATATCCTTATTTACCAACATTTCATTTACATCATGTTAAAATTGAACAGTATGTAGAGTGTTATATTATGTTTCGTCATTTTCAGGAAAGAATTCAAACACATACAAGCCAGTTTTCATGAAACGTTCTCATGGTTTACATTATCGGGATAACATCTTAGACAACTGGTCAAACCTTGGTATCAAGCTGGTTAAATTTGCGTTCTATGATACTGACAAAGAAGTAGCGTACGTGATCTTCAACGGGGTGGACAGCAACATACACAACTGGTTTGATAGAAAACGTGTGATTGATTCAAGCTGGGCAGACCTTACGTCAAAAAGTGTCTTCAACTATTTCTCTATTGCAGGCCACTTCCTCAACACGCTACATGATCGTCGTTTCTACATCAACAGAAATTATGGCGGATGTCCAAATGACCGTGGTCACCTAATAGTTATCAATTCTGCTGTTCCCGCTCCCATATGTTTGTTTGACAGCCAGCCGTCCTATCCAACGTTTATCTATTCAAAATATAATTCGGTCGACTTCTTCCAGAGAAGAATGTTTGGTATCGCGGACTTCATGGTGGTTTCCATAAAGACAAGCGGTTAATTGATTGAATGTAAAACACCACAGTGACAAAAAAACGTACTTTGTTCAACACATAAAAGAACACAAACCATTTGCAACTGTTATTTCAAAGACATGTTTTCTGTTATTTTAACTATTATACTTTTTGCCAAGTTACGTTTATGCAATGTTTCTTTTTTTCTAATGGTATTTAATAGCTTACAAGTTTGAATTGTAGGATAGTAATGTCACAAAGTCTTCAATGTCATGATCATCAATACATGTTTAGCAACTTCTTCACAGTACCTAATATTTCATTATGCAGCACACTAGTGACATATTGAAGGTGTTATGCTATGCTTGTGAACAAAATACCCTATAACAAATAAAAAGCAGATATGCAACGGACATGTTTTCTTAATTCTGATGATCATTTTACTCAAAATGTTCTGGTACATGAAAAGCCATAATTATTTTGTTCCTTCACAAAACTTAAAAAACATTTTTTTTCACTCCTATCACGATACAAACAATTATGCTACGGATTTCAGGCAGCTCAAACAAAGATTTATACCACTTTAGGCATTTCATATCATAAAGTTGTAATAAATTCATTACAATTTCTATAAAAAAAACCCCAAATTTACGAGTTTGTCGAACTGAATATACAATTGTAAATATAATCTTGACCAAGTGTATACTTCCAAAATATCAGTACTGTGACTTATGCAAATTATAAATAACATAATGTGCAAAGTGAAAGAAACGAAATGTGAGATTTGGTTTGCAGAAAAATAGAATTACTGCTTTTTCTGAAATTATTCTCAAAGGTTCCAAATCCAGAAACCTGGCGATATTTTTTAATAAGACTACAATTAATCATTAACTAAAAATAAATCACCCACATACAAACTTTAAAACACTGATAATAACCAAAAATACTGGCCAACAATCAATTACCCATATTTCCAAATGTCACAGGTGAGAAAAATATGCAGACTGAGCAGAACTCGAACCCGGGCACCTTGGGATACTATTTCGCGGCTCTACCGACTTATACATATTCTCCCTTAAATAGTGAGCAGTTCTGAACAGTTACATATATTCACCATATACAAAATAAACAAAGACCACATTGAATAGGGTAAATACGTTCCTGACATTGATTTCAAAAGTATATTTTTTAATAAATGTAGTAATATTTCATTATTCTTTAATTGTTGTCTTGTTATAAAAGACGGTATCCTTTATAAACGTCTTGGTCACGTTCCGCTCTGGGCGCTAAATGTCACGGGGTGAGAAAAATGTCCAGCTTGATCGGGATTCGAACCTGAGACCATCTGAATACTGTTCCGCGGCACTACCGACTGAGCTATCCGGCCGCTTACACATATTGTCCCTTAAAAAGTGTAGAGTTCTGAATCGTGACACAAGTAAATAATATATTATATAAATGTCCAACAAAAACGTAATTGTCACATGATTAAAATTGCGGGAAACCAAGGGAAACAACTCTGACAATCTACAATACATTAAATTATCTGAATTATTGACCCTGATACACAATAAGAATTGCATAATCGAGTTATTGTTTTTTTTCTCAAATATGAAAGTATTTAGCAAATGATATATAATCATGAGTTAAAAGTGTGTTGTTTCCAAATTTAGGCGTCAGTAAAACCGAATATTATAACGTCATCCCTTTGTTCTGACATACTGTACTTTATTACTGTACATCAGGTCGTCCAATACTTATGCGAAAGTCCAATATTAATCGTGTTACCCATAAATATTAGACAGCATGCCTTGTAGTGAAAGAAGCTTGTATGACCAATAGACTTTGGAATTTCATCCTCATAAAAAATAAGTACCACATTACATTATATCAGAAGTAGATACGTGTAATGCAACGCCTTTCCCGCCCATAACCACGGGGGTGGAACCCCATATCTATCTAAAAAAATGAGCATCGGTAAAAAGTATATGTGAATTTCCGCTGCTCCAGATGTGAAGCATTACACCAGATGTGACTGTGAAAATAGGTCAATCGCAGGGTAAGTTTTCATCTATTTAAACAGTTATATAAAATTCAATCATTTTTTAAAGAAAATCGAAATGTGATTCTACCTTCCTGGCTCTCCTCTATATTACCCATTTTTAGGATTTCTATGCAGTCTTCATCGATTATATGGAAATGATCCGTAGTTTTGTAGATGGTTTTCTACATCACTTATGGATCTCTTCAGCACATATGGAGCTCAAATGCAATTTTGAGCAGCGACTCCTTCGTTTGTAGCCAAATCTCAATAAATGTTTAAATCAGGATTTGTCTGAATGTTAAGCATCGGTCTGTAGTGATACTTCGTTAAATCGCTTTTTTGTCCCTTTAGTGACATTTTCTTCATTAACATTGCATGTTTTGGGATCTATATTTTCTTGTTTTATTTAAAATGATTACGCATTTTACGGAATTTTATGATTAGATCAGCACTTGTTTATAAACTAGTAAGTCTGCGCGATAAGTAGTCAGTATGTAACTACATGTATGTTTAATGTCAAGTGCTATTGGTGTCGGTGTGACTTAGCATTATTCTATAACAATGCACTCAGAATTTATATCTATTTCCTAAACAAAAACAAAACAAAAAACATTGCGAGAAATAATTTCTGCATTTAAATTTTTATTCTTAAATTAACGTTCATCTGTTAGTTTCACATATTAAATATATTTTATATAAACATCAAGATTATCCAATGAAAAGCGACGTTACAAACGTGCAGAATGAAAAAGAGTAGGCCTATGTTTATATCCTGGTATGTGTATTTCTGTATATAGTCAGTCCATTTGTGTGTATATCAGCATATAACATATCCATATGTGTCAGTGTATTGTATTATCTGTTGTTGCGTTAAGACTGTATGTATCATTTGTATGTTCTTATTCTTTCTAAAGCTTTGTGTATGTTAAGTCGTTTTAGTGATTTTGCGGTGAATCGAACTTTCAACCCCTTGATCCGTAGACAGTCAATGTTACCACTGCACCAAAGCGAATATCCTATATACAATTATCGCTGCGATGGCCAACAAACAAGTTATGCAATTGAATTTTTTACTTTATCATGGTGGCCGTATTTATTTATTTATTCATTCATTCATTCATTCATTCATTCATTCATTCATTCATTCATTCATTCATTCATTCATTCATTTATTTATTTATTTATTTATTCATTTATTTATTTGTTTGTATGACGATCCGACATTGCTTAAATTAATAGAAAATGGAAATCAGCATGTTCTGGTTCCCATGCTTCGATATAGATATACGTGACTTAATTATTTTTTCCAAAATTCCCAAAATGCAACCAATACTTTACAAGTGTAAATTTAATTTCATTAAGTGTAAGTATTCTGTGTCAAAGTACGGGTGAAAATATAATGTTTACTGATTCACCGCTTGGCGAAATAACGTCCGTTGCGGAAAGACGTCATGACGTCCAATAATGCTGCAATATGATTGGACGGCGCATGTATTGATTGTGACGTAACAAACCTAACGTAGTAACCGCAATTGTAATGCCGCACATTTACAGTGCAGACGAATAAAGCAGCTATTTAAAGTTAATAAGAGACAAAATACATGTACCTGCAAAATGGAAGAAATCTCGGCAAATGATAACCGACCTGTAGCGAATAGCACATTTAAAGGTAGATTTTTCTGTTATTATTTCAATTATCTTTAATAATGATTATCAAAAAGGGAAACTTTTTGAGTTCTTTTTCGCATTGATAATTATTATTCTAAGTTTTTTTTTCTAATATGGAAATATACTTAAGGATTTCTACATTGACAATCGTATAGAGTCCACGGTCATTCATTGGTAAATATAGAAACATTGACAATCGTCTACAGTCCGCAGTCATTCATTGGTAAATATAGAAACATTGACAATCGTCTACAGTCCGCAGTCATTCATTGGTAAATATAGAAACATTGACAATCGTATACAGTCCGCAGTCATTCATTGGTAAATATAGAAACATTGACAATCGTCTACAGTCCGCGGTCATTCATTGGTAAATATAGAAACATTGACAATCGTCTACAGTCCGCGGTCATTCATTGGTAAATATAGAAACATTGACAATCGTCTACAGTTCGCGGTCATTCATTGGTAAATATAGAAACATTGACAATCGTCTACAGTCGCGGTCATTGATTGGTAAATATATAGAAACATTGACAATCGTCTACAGTCCGCGGTCATTGATTGGTAAATATAGAAACATTGACAATCGTCTACAGTCCGCGGTCATTGATTGGTAAATATAGAAACATTGACAATCGTCTACAGTCCGCGGTCATTGATTGGTAAATATAGAAACATTGACAATCGTCTACAGTCCGCGGTCATTGATTGGTATAATATATAGAAGTCCGGTCATTCATTGACAATCGTCTTACAGTTCGCGGTCATTCATTGGTAAATATAGAAACATTGACAATCGTCTACAGTCCGCGGTCATTCATTGGTAAAAATATAGAAACATTGACAATCGTCTACAGTCCGCGGTCATTCATTGGTAAATATAGAAACATTGACAATCGTCTACAGTCCGCGGTCATTCATTGGTAAATATAGAAACATTGACAATCGTCTACAGTCCGCGGTCATTCATTGGTAAATATAGAAACATTGACAATCGTCTACAGTCCGCGGTCATTCATTGGTAAATATAGAAACATTGACAATCGTCTACAGTCCGCGGTCATTCATTGGTAAATATAGAAACATTGACAATCGTCTACAGTCCGCGGTCATTCATTGGTAAATATAGAAACATTGACAATCGTCTACAGTCCGCGGTCATTGATTGGTAAATATAGAAACATTGACAATCGTCTACAGTCCGCGGTCATTCATTGGTAAATATAGAAACATTGACAATCGTCTACAGTTCCGCGGTCATTCATTGGTAAATATAGAAACATTGACAATCGTCTACAGTCCGCGGTCATTCATTGGTAAATATAGAAACATTGACAATCGTCTACAGTCCGCGGTCATTCATTGGGTAATTTAAATATAGAAACATTGACAATCGTCTACAGTCCGCGGTCATTGATTGGTAAATATAGAAACATTGACAATCGTCTACAGTCCGCGGTCATTGATTGGTAAATATAGAAACATTGACAATCGTCTACAGTTCCGCGGTCATTCATTGGTAAATATATAGAAACATTGACAATCGTCTACAGTTCGCGGTCATTCATTGGTAAATATATAGAAACATTGACAATCGTCTACAGTCCGCGGTCATGGATTGGTAAATATAGAAACATTGACAATCGTCTACAGTCCGCGGTCATTCATTGGTAAATATAGAAACATTGACAATCGTCT